CTCACCACAGATCTGACCTGTAACTGTTTTGGTCTGCGTGAAGATAGAAAGGTGGAATAACATCTCCATGGAGAAAAGCATTTGACGGACTCTCCACCAAAAATTTACACAATGCATCTTTAAGGATTTATATGGCAGAAAAAGCAGAAGTGAGAAGTTGGTGAGTTATTGAGTTGGTTGAAAATCTTTTTTTTGGATGTAAAGAGACTGCTTCAACTCATGATTCTCAAGTTAAATCTGTTTTTATATTTTATAACATTATTTCTGGGTACTTTTTTCTGAGTAAAGTTGTTTTTGCAGAGATTTAATAATTTTGAGAGCCTTTGCCACACCCCCTTTATAGTCAACTAATCTGTCTGCAGGACATGTGTTTATTCGACTACAGCCCTAGATACTTGATCAGTCAATGATGATTTCTAATTTCTTCTAATCCGCCTCTCTCGCTATCTCTGCCCCTTCCACATCCTTCTCCCCCTCAACAGTTGCACAGTACCCGTTTGAAGACCACAACCCTCCCCAGTTGGAGCTAATCAAGCCGTTCTGTGAAGATCTGGACCAGTGGCTCAGTGAAGACGACAATCACGTGGCGGCCATCCACTGTAAGGCAGGCAAAGGTCGCACGGGGGTCATGATCTGCGCCTACCTTCTCCATCGTGGCAAGTTCGTCGAGGCCCAGGAAGCTCTCGACTTCTACGGGGAAGTCAGGACAAGGGACAAGAAGGTGGGCACTTGTATTGGATATTACTATTATTTGGACACAGTAGCTCACACATAACAAACCTGTCATGCCTATTATAATATATTATTAGTATAGCACAATTCGCACACAAAGAGGACTAAAGTGAAGAGTGGGAGGGAGGATATCTAGCTGTGTTTCTTCTGACAAATATTATATATACTAATATATATATTTTTCTGTTCTGTGTTTGTGTAGAGCTTTTTTCTTTTTTTTTTTGCACAATGTGGTGGAAATTTCGATTTGCTAATTAATGTTCAATTGTGATTAATCTTGCAGCCCTAATTATTTCTATGTTGTATCTTGTGTTGTAAATGTTGTTCACTTTTTTTTTTTTTTCCCCTGAAGTTTGTGCTCTGGTTAGCCCTGGTTAAGGTTTAGTTGTTTCACACCTGGATGATTCTTGGTTCAGCCCAAGATGAATTCTGATTTGGTTTTGCTGTAGAACTAGTTTAAACTTGGCTTAGCCCTCGCTACTAGGTCTGTTTTACCAAAACTACAAATCACTGTTACATGCAGGCATTTGTTTGGTTTGTGTAGTGTTGTATAGTGGTGTTGAATTTTGGTCTTCTTGACTTTATTTATTTTATTATCACAGAGCTGTTGGTTGTGCTGCTCTTTTGGGTGGAAGCCATTTTTTGTTTTGTAGATTAAAATTGAACACATCAGGATTAGAATTAAAACTCAATATTGATATGAGATACAGATTTCGATACCAATCTTTTTATACTTTATACTAGCCTTATACAAGTTCTGCTATCACTCATTCTCACTTACTGGGAAATGTCCCAGTGGTCGATATTTTTTTTTCCCTCTATACTGCTCAAATCAGGTATCTGGTTTCGATACTAGAGCTAGTATGGATTTGTACCAAGATATTGGATCTTTGTGATGTTTCTATTTAGGATATGAATATTATCAATGCCTGTGTGGGGTAGTTTTATAACAGAGGAAAATTAGATGAACTGATCACAGAATAGAATGATATTTTTTACACCAACTGAACCCAAAAAAAGAAATTGCCATGTTTAAATCAAAAATCCAGCCACACACAGCTGGTAAAATATAACTATCACTTCTTTAACTGTAATTTGTGTGTGTTTCAGGGAGTAACAATCCCCAGCCAACGGCGCTACGTTCACTACTACAACTACCTACTGAAGAACCAGCTGGAGTACAAACCGGTGGCCCTGCTCTTCCACAAAATGGTGTTTGAGACTCTCCCCATGTTCAGCGGGGGCACCTGCAGTGAGTCATGATCCTCTATGCATGCGCGCACACACACATATATGCACACATGCACAGGGCACATGCACAAGTACTCAGGTACACCACAGGTCACAACTAATACTTTAAGCTTAGTGTAGTCCATAAAGAATCACCCTGCGCATTAGTTTTGTCTTCTGTTGATAATTTGTCTGATTTAAAGGTCCTATATTACAAAAAATTTACTCTTCTGAGCTTCAAGCCATGTTAGAATGCTGTTACCTTATTACAAATATACTGGAGTGGTGTTTTTTTTTCAATCACACGTTTGCGTAATCCTTTTTTTTAGTCAAAATGTTGTGTTCCACCTTGTGAGGTCAAAGTTAGCAGCTACCTTTTTAACTGAACTTTAGTTCAGTGGAGATGGACAATTCCAGGGTTGAAATCACTCAAATGATTCTAGTGAAGGTGTATGGAGTTTAAAAATGCAGTAGAGCACTTACTGTATCACCATATGACATTGAGATAAACCTATATAGCCTAAATATCTAGAGTTTGTGGGTTACACATGTGTGCTTGAAACAAAACACTCCAGGTATTTGTTAATGAGGAAACATAATATAGATCAGAAAATATTGTAATATGGGCCCTTTAAGAACCACCTTGTGCAGTGGTTATGTCCTCTGTTGCTAATTAAGTTGATAGGTTGGATCTGCAGAGATAAAGAAAGAGGTTTTGATGAGTGTATGAATTGATTCCAATTGGCATCTGTAGAGTTTGACTGTCTGGGTTAGGGAAGGTTTATATTGACCAAAATAAATATGAATACTTGTTTTTGAACTTCACAATATTTAGACTGTATTGTGTCAGTCCCACAGATTTTTTTTTTAAACTTGTCTTTAAAAGTATTAGTTTGGATCTAAGTATCAGTCAAATGTGAAATGACTGTAAAATTACCCACAGAAGTGCAGAATTATCACTTTATAAATGTTTTTTTTCAACAATCTGCACTTTTTGAATTAGAATATACTTGTCATTCGTATTTTGCATTGACAATTCAATATCTTTCAAACCTCTAGTCTGGGTGAATGGATGTAACTGGCTGTACACTCTGCCTAAGGCCCAATGTATTTGGGATAAGATCTAGTTCTTGTTGCACAGAATAATAAAATAAAATTGGAAATTGATGAGTTGCATGGAGATTGAACTGAAAATACTGTAGCACAAGGTAAAAGCTAGTTCAGAAGTATAATGCAGTAAAGCTACAATATGACACATTTTAATAATGATAATGATCAGTTATATAGAGCCTTTCTGGACACTCAAAGACCACTTTACAGAGCATTATTCATTCATTCCACACTCGGTGGTGGTAAGCTACTATTGTAGCCACAGCTGCCCTGGGGCAGACTGACATGATGTTGTGAGGCAAGACTTGCTGTTTTCTATCAATAACAAAACGCATTACATTCCTCCACCTGTGCTCTGTATTCTCATGAAACCTGCCACACCAAATGAGTCATCACATCCACCAGCAGCTTTCAAATGAGCTCCTCTCTATGTAAATCTTGGCTTGCCTTGTGTTAGCAGGTGGATGTCTCATTTGTTAGCTTGCAGTGAAGCAGCTTTCCTTGGCCCTGGCTGCTGTGCTCTCCTGTCTCTGAACTGTCACAAAAAAGTGCCTGCTCCTCTCTATATTCTTGTGGCTTCTTCAGTCTGTAACACTCCACTGTACTCAGCAGCTTTTTACTATATCGATCTCTCTCCTTCACTTTTCACTAAAAACAAGGCCCTATTCCAAGTTTGACTTTTTTTCACACACTATACACACTGTAATGGCAATAATTATAACAGTACAATTCAGTCTGGTTAAAAAGTCAAAGATTAGCGTCGTCAACTTCTGCCTTCTCTTCCTTCCCCTTTTATGAATGTATGGCGTACTTTGTGTGTGCGCGTATGTGTGTATTCGCTGTACTGTCCGGCCCCCCTCTCACCAGGCCCCTCCCCCTCCCTCCCGCTCGGCCATTGTGATAACCTCCTTCTCTTTCTCAAAGGGGACAGTACCGTAAAAAACAGGAGCGAGCCGACCCCTCAGGGCTTCAAGAAAGGGAATTGGCACTGGGGTAAATAAAGAGCCTTTTCCTCCATTTTGAATATTTCAAGTATTTGCTTTTTTTGTGTGTGTGTGTGGCCCCAGAGATCCAGCAGGTCAGGAGGCGGCGCAGGTACTAGCTAACGCGCAGATGAGCTTCTCCCCACACCCTCCTCCTTCAGTTTACAAACAAAAGAATAGGGTCCAATGTCTCTGGTTCTGGGTCATTTTGTGCTCTTTTAACTTTTTTTCTTCTTTCTGCTCCTAATATTAATCCTATGTTGTTGACCTTTTGCCTCTCCATTCAAAGTGGAGGTAGGTGGGTGGGTGTAACCATAGTAATGCCCCTTTGCTTACTCCCCTGTGCATGCACAGACCCCCAGTTCGTGGTGTACCAGCTGAAGGTGAAGATCCACACGTCAAACCCTGCTCACACGCGGCGCGAGGACAAGCACATGTACTTTGAGTTCCCTCAGCCGCTGCCCGTCTGCGGAGACATCAAAGTGGAGTTCTTCCATAAACAGAATAAGATGATGAAGAAGGTGAGTGCGGTCTGACCACTACGGTCTGGAGATGGGATAGTTTATAGTTATGGGGGGAGTGACCATAGAATGTATAAAGAAGTGGATTAAGGGAGTGTGATGTCACCCATAGCGTTCAGCTCCAGTCAGATGAAGCTCACGATGCTAGCAGTTATAGGGGCAAATCTGGGCCGAGTTCCATATTAGAATAGAATAGAAATTGATCTATCGACAAAATGGCAAAATAAAAAGAGTGGGATCATGTAAAGCGAGTTGTTATATGGCTCATTGCAGCAGTTGGAGAGAGAGGAGTGACAATTTTTTAATGTAAAGTCAATTGGAGCCAAAGTCAGTGGAGCCATAAGCGCCCTCGTGAACACTTCCTATTTGTAATGCTGCGGCTGGCAGATTAGCTATGTCCATTTATATGTACAGTCTATGGTATTGACTTCATTAATGGTAACTGGAATATCAAAGTGTTGTGTTGTATCAACATATTGTGTTAATTTTATATCACAACATTCTAAAATATATTTTCAATTTGAGCTGGAGGACAGGTCTAAGGTAGAATTTGCTGTTTAATTTCAGATTTGTCTGGTTTTGGTTTGTGGGTCACATCTCTAAATACTGACATATACACATGAAACTAAAACTGCCACAAAGTTCAGCATTTCCTTTGTCAGTACTTTCATTCTGAAAGTGGTGCTCGTAAGTATTCAATCCCCCAGGACAAGTTTTTTTGTCTAGTTTAAAGTGGAACTAAACACTAAAAACACATTTTTTGCTACTAAACTGTATAGCATTGTCTAGGGTTTCTAGTCATTTTTTGGAATTTTAAACCACAAGATCAATATGGCAAATCATCAACTAATAAGGTGCAACCTTTGTGGATGATAAGTTTGAATATTTATTTAAAAATCTTCCAGGAGATATACAGACCCCTGCCCTACATCTGAAACAACATGAATGCAACCTATACACTAGTACATATGCTTGCTATTTGTATTTGTTGTAATCTGTATTTATTTATTTTTTATTTGCTATTTTTGTAACTCTAAAAATATTTCCAAATGACCCATGCCTTGACCCTCTCCTGTTTTCCTCCAGGACAAAATGTTCCACTTCTGGGTGAACACGTTCTTCATCCCGGGTCCAGATGAGGAGAAGAAGCGCGAGGAGAACGGGACGGTGGTGAGCGACATGGACTGTCAGCAGCAACAGCCTCCACCGGGCCCACCAAGCAACGCCGAGCGCAGAGACAGCACCAGAGACGGAGACAAGGAGCGTGTCTGGGACAGGGACAAAGACAAGGACAGGGACAAAGAGAGGGAGAAGGAGCGCGACAGGGACCGGGACTACCTCATCCTGACGCTAACCAAGAACGACCTGGACAAGGCAAACAAGGATAAAGCTAACCGCTACTTCTCTCCAAACTTCAAGGTATGCGCCGCTTTCACATCACAGCATTAAATTCTGCTTCTGAAAATGTGGACCATGTCACTGTTTTCATACGTACACACGTTGTAAACAAAGACATCTAACTGGACCTTTATGTTTCCTGACTACAAAGAAGCAAAGAAAATATGTAAAAAAGCCACCTCTAATGATGCTATAAACTGTTCACTGGCACATACATTTTTTAGTGTCATGATTCATATAAAGCACAGCCAGTGATGTTTGGATTTTCTGGAAACAAGTCCTAACTGCACTTTGCATGTGTATAGCATGTACGTCTGACTGCTGATAGTGAGTGTAGTAGTCACCATATATTGCACTCTGGTAATGCTACAGTGGGTTTGAGTGCACTGATATTCTGACAGATTCTGTGACTGTTATCTAAATACTGTCTGATGTGTATGAACGCTCCAGCTCATTCTTGTGTGTCTTTGACTTTCAGGTGAAGTTGTACTTTACAAAAACTGTGGAGGAGCCCACGAATTCGGAGGCGAGCACTTCGACATCAGTCACCCCGGACGTTAGCGACAATGAGCCAGACCATTACAGATACTCTGACACCACTGACTCTGATCCGGAAAATGAACCTTTTGATGAAGAGCACCACACACAGATAACCAAAGTGTGAATTCTTTTACACAACAGGAAGAAGAAATGATCCACCGAAAAAAGGAGAAAACTTGAATATAAACTCTTCCCTCCCCCAGACGGCAATAGAATATCATCATGTCAAATGCCAACTTTAGGGAAAAAAGAGAAATATCTCGACCAATATATTTTTTATTTTCCTTTTTTTCTTTGGCACGGCCATGTACCATGTGCGAGGTATTGACACTGTTGCCCCATGGAAAAGGTGCTGTAGCTTAAATGTGTTTATATATATATACATACACATATGTATATACATATATACATGCATATATAAACAAACTTTTGTGTCAAAGACAATGGAAAGATTACCACAATCAGGAGACGGGAGTTGAAGTCTGGGAGAAGTTGTAATGATGTACTAGGACTATGCTGCTCCTTCTCCTGTCTAAACCAAGGCCAGTGCTGCAAGTCACTTTGTTTCACTCCTCTCTCCTCCCTCCCTCTCTCCTCCTCTTTTACTCTCCGCCCTCCATCCTCCTCCTTTACTGTGAATGCTTCTTGTGCTCTTTGCAGGCTGTCTCACGTGACTTTTGGCCTTTGTGCAGTGCAAACTGCATGCGGGCAGTGGGTTGGGGGTGGGCGGGGTTATGAAGAGGCTGTGATGATGTCTAAAGCATTGCCATTCCTATCCCCACTGTGTTTAAATTATGCAGGCTACCCATGTAATTGTCAATGTTTTTTTATCATAAAATAATAAAAATATAATACACAAAACAGCAGGGAGACAAGTGTTTGCAATAATGTCAACACTACATTTAAAGGACTGGTGATTTGCATGTACTGGAATTGGCGTCCATCCTAATAAATGTATGCAAAGTTGTCTTTTCTTAAACAGCAGCTTGGATGTGTCTTGTGCGTGGGGTTCCCCAGTGCTTTGACTCATGTCTTATGTAATCTTCACGCCTCACACTGGAGGAAAACCAACAAGAAACTTAAAATCTGCTGTTGCCATCAAATCAAACCACTACACGTACTCTGTCCAGATCGTGACGGCATTACTGCTATTTTAAAGGGCCCATATTACTCTGTTTTATGATCTGTTATGTTGTTTCCCCATCAAAAACATGCATAGTTAGGCGGAGTTCTTCTCTGAAACAGAAAACACTCTGTTCCAATTTGAAATGTCATGTGGTGATACAAGAGGTGCTCCACTGTTTTTAAACTTCATACATCTTTACTAGAATCATTTGGATACTTGGAATTGCCCATATTCACTGAATTAAATTAAAACTCGAAAACTACACTCACTACCTATCACAAGGTGGAACAGAGCATTTTGAGCTTTGGAGATGTAGACAAACTACTAATAAGGGATTACTCAAACGTGGGAATGAAACAAAACACAAGTATGTTTTTGAAGAGATAACAACAACCTAACATGGCTCAAATCTCGAGTCAATTTTGCATAATATAGGACCTTTAAGAGTGCACAGCTTTAATAATTCACATTATAGAGAAGCTTTTTGCTCCGGTTTAGCCACAAAGGTCATGGCTAAAATGGCGAGAAGCACCTGGACGAAGGAAATGATTGGAGGATTATTGTGAGAGTTCAGTTAAGGCCAGGGAGCCCACTTCAAATACAATGGACCCAACCACTGTCTGAGCAGCTCCTTCATTACGATTGTGATCTGGGCACTGGCTACAAAGGCTGGACTGTTTCATAGCCAGAATCAAGATGACCTATTTCTTCCCCCTTTTTGCATTTACTGACTGAACTATATATATTTTATTTATACCAAGGTTGTTGCCCATCTTCAAACGACAATGAATTGGTTCTCGTGCGTCTTAATTTTAACTTCAACACCAAAATATGAGTTCAAATTTTGTAAGATTCCTGATTTTTGAAGTCATTTTAGGTGTTGAACTTGATCCAAACAAAAAAAAGCTACATTTTGAAATATTTCTGAACTATCATAAGAATACATTTTAAAATGATCCTTTAAAAGACTCAAATCAAACGTACTAAAATAAATAAAACCTTTGTAGTTCTACATTTGCTCAATTTACTAATTCTACTACAACACTACCTTGCTACACGCACACTACCAAATCAAACTAACAACATTGCTTGAAGTATAATGCAGTTGCTTGACGCTTGATCAGAACATCAGAACAGAGGAAGCCAAGGAAGCAAGGAAAGGAGACAAGCAAGGATGGAAAGATGTGAGTTTGAGGCTTTGGGTGTGCTCCTCTTGACATCCTCCCAAACCCGAAGACTAACAGGATTAAGCTCCATGTCATTCTGATAGTTGGCAGAAGAAGTGGCAAGGACTCAAGTTTTTTTTTTTTTTTGCTTTTCTTATATAGCCCAAAGTCTCTAGATAATAAAACAAAGTATAAATTTAACATATATTTTTATAGCCATGGCAGTCTCATAATCCCCTTCTGCTCTATTAGGAGACTGGGGGCTCGGTGGGGTTGATAGAGACATCAAAGCCCAAACCAGAGCGACCACGAATCAAGCAGGCAGTAGTCGCGAGGGGCTGCCTCTGATTGGCTGATCTGGAGGAAGAAGCGGAGAGGAGGAGAGAGAGAGGCTGGAAGATATAAATTATGAATGTGCCCAGTAGAGAGAGAGAAAGAAGGGATGTTGTACGCAGGCAGCAGGCCAGACTGAAGACAAGTTTTAGTGGAGTCGTACAGGCAGCCAAACTTGTGAAATATTCATCTGATCAATAGAGTACTTCATTTGTATGTACTCAGCACTGCCTCGGTGCTGTTTTGCTTTTAATGCCCTTGGCAATGTGAGATGAAGCTCAGAGTCAGAAGTACAACAGATTGCTTTGCAGCTGGGGAGTCATTCACTCGCACCTCACTACGAGGTCTCAGGTTTGAGTCCCAGACTGTGGGGCCTTTCTGTGTGGGGTTTGCATGTTCTTCCTGTGTCTCTGGATTCTCTGGTGTCACTTATCAGTCTTAACATGCACTGACTGACTGCTATGTCTGAGTCCTGACTAAAGTAACTGGTAAAACACCTTGAGAAGTATTCACCATGGTACTGGTGTCCACTGAAGAATGATAGAATGTGTCAAAGTTGCTATGGGGTCAATAAAGCATATTTCCCCTGCAATTCTGTAAGTTTAAGTGTACAATAAACACATCATTTGGTTAGTATATTGCAACACATGTTTGCATAACAAATGCTCTATGTAAAGTATCAGGTTGGCAGGTGGCCATAGAGTGAACTCCACTAAAGGACACATTGAATCAAACACAAGCAGTTGTCAGATACAGTACCTGTGTTTGGTTATTTATTTCATACTGTTTTGTTGGACAATGGAACAGAACAGCGTCTGCTCTTGCCCCTGCAGAAATGAGGTGGTCACATGTGACATGGACCTAAAGGCGAGCTGCAAACATGAGATGATCGAGTAAGAGCCTGACTGTTCAGTTGACTCTAAGGCCCAAAGTAGTGAACAGACTTCAGCCAGGAGTTGCAAATAAATCGATTAACATTATTATTATTATTTTAATTACACAAAAAACATTTTTAAATATTCTGAGGAGCACAAGCTATGGGTTTGCCAGAAATTGCTATGCACAGTCTGCACCCTTAACTTTTGTTTCAGCACTAAGAAGAACATACATGGTTTGTGATCTCAGTGTCTCAGAGCTTCATTTACAGCGGGCCTGACAGCGCCTCCATTTCGCCTGATTTACCCTTTTCATGCGTGGATGAAAAAAGACACCAAATGTGCAGATTTAGGCAAAGTATTATAACCAATGCTGTGCGGGGGTCTGTCTGGCCTACAAAGAGAAGATAAGCCCAAGCTGGTAACCCCATTTCCTCTCCATCTGTTGGTTGGTCAGCTGTATAGAGGAGGATTGCACTCAACAGGACCTGGCAACTCAACCCCCACCACCTCCTCACCCTCCCTTTTCCCCCTCTCTCTGTCTCTCCCTCTCTCCTCCTCCCTCTCTCTTGTCTCTCTCCTCTCTCTCTCACTGGCCCAGTGCACAGCTGTGGAGAGTTTGGATTAGGTCAAGAATAAAACAGGAAGTTGAAATTAAACAAAAGCTTAAACACACTGTAAGTTAGCACAGGCAGTGACAGCCAGTGGAAAAAGCAGAGGAGGGCTGAGAGGCTTAAAGAAGAAAGGCTAAGAAAAATGTTGCATAAAATCATAATACTTCATACTAAAAGGACCTGTACCTAATTTGTCCATGTATTTGAGCAAAAATAGTCTTGCCTCAATATAGATATATTGTTTAAGTGGCTCTTGAGGTCAAGATATATCTGCTGCATGCTGCCTGCATCTTAAGATAAAGTGTTTTACTGTCAAGGAATCAGGAAGTGTGTGTGAAAAGTCCTTATTAACATACATAATTAGGATGCTTGGAATGCATAAGGTAAGTGAGGAATGACTTTGGGCCTCTGTAAACTATTTAAACCATGAACTATTTCTGTTTTTCACGTTTTTAAGACAATAAGTTACTACAGTTCAAACGTGTGGGGATGTAAATTAATGTGGCTCTCTTAAAATACCTCTTCATATAGATTTTTGAAAGTTCTTGCTGTAATTTTAAAGCTGCATAGCTTTTCTGGTAGAGGGTCCATCAAATGCCTTTCCTCATGTTTCACAGTGTAGCATTAAACCTTTCTATCTTCATGGAGACCAAACTAGACCAAGTTACAGGTCAGATCTGTGGCGAGGCAACCCTGCTCACAGTCTAAATGTCTGTTTTCTAGGTATTTTTGAGCTATAAAACCAACAGTAATTGAATAAATGTAAGGTAAAGCTATTTAATGTCATACTGTGGAACATTCCAGGCAGAACAGTGACATGTCATATCACACAGGACCCACAAGCAAAAAGTTATATAGTGTGCCTTTGACCTGTATTTAAGTCAGTGGAATATTGAACAATGCAATCAACGGAAAATTCTGTTGCTACATTATGAGGTGTATACAGTCCTGAGAAAGTTGTACTTTCTGATTTAGCCAATAAATAACCACATGAAAGAGCCTTGAATTCACCAAATGGGGAAGTGGAAATGGAAAGAATATTTCGGCCCATTGTGGGTGTGGGTGATGTGCAGCTGGTTGCACAAAAGTGTTGCAGTCAGTGTGCTGTAAGAGAAGATCTGTGGTATAATATGTGTTTTATTATCATGTAGAGTAAATGTATTTATTCATAAAGCCTCTGAAGACAGTTACATACATTTACTTCTGTCAAAGTCTTGTAAAAGGGAATTCCCCAGAAGCTACCGAAAAAGGCCTATAAGGGCTATTTTCTGATCTGTGTTATAATGTTGTTGCTTCATCAAAAATATGCTTGGAGTTGTGTTTTGTTTAACTGACATGTTTAACTCACAATCCTTTGTGATGTCATGTGGTAATACGTACACCTTCACTAGAATCATTTTGAGTTTAACCCTGGAATTAACTTGAAAACTACCGCTTCATGACATCACATGGTGGAACAGAGCATTTTGAGGTTTGAAGATGTAGACAGACTAATAATGAAGGATTAATCAAACATGGGTGACTGAAACAAAACTCAGCTCCAGGTACGTTTTTTGATGAGGTAACAACATTATAACATAGCTTAAAGCTCAGTCGGTGTTGTGTTGTTGTGTAATGTTGGACATTTAACTTATAGAAAGGGCCCTAGACACATATACAGTACATTCATCTAACAAGAATATAATCAACAGAAGTTTCTAATGCATTTTTGTAGCCAAACGACACATGGTGAAAAAAATTATAGAGTAGCTAGCCACCACCTTTTTGAGTATATCGATTTTCAGGTACCACCAGTGCAAGTCTCTAAAACTGTCTTAAAACAGGGCTAAGATTGTGCTAAACCATGACTAAACCGTGCTCTTCAG